GGCAAAGGGGAGGGGAAATGGGGGACATCTGTCATACTCTCAACAACAGCAGCAACAAAAAACCCTTCAGGGGAAAAAAGGGAAAGAACTCCCAGACAAGGACAACAGTGTGGTGATTGCGGGGAGGGGGAGGGGAAGGGGGAAGAGGACATGGGATAAATGGTGACGGAAATAATAAAATTAAATAAAAACAAAATAAACCCTCAAGGAATTCGTCAAGGTCAAGGGGTGCCAGAGATGTACAAGGAGAAACTGAGTTGTGTGGCTTCAAGGTAAAGGTTGGAGGGACAGCTGCCACTGTTCCTGTGTTGAGCTCTCCTCCTGCCATCTTTCCTGTGCCGAGCCCTCCCCCAACACGGCCAAATGTGAATCTGCATTAGCCCAGTGGACTGCACTCCCTCCACCCTGATGACTCCCTGAGGCCCCACCACACCCAAATTGAGGACCACCAGAGGCTATTTCAGCACTGGGAGCAGGCCCAGTGCTGAAGTCATCCTTAAAAACTCTCAAGGCCTAAGAAAAAAAAGAAAACAAAACAAAAACAACCTCTCAAGCCCTGGCTGGTGTGGCTCAGTTGGTTGGAGCATTGTCCAATGCACAATGGAAGGTCGTGGGTTCAATTCCTGGTCAGGGCACATACCTAGGTTGTGGGTTCCATCTCTGGTCTGGGCAAGTTCAGGAGGTAACTGATGGATGTAGCTCTCTCACATCAATGTTTATCTTTCTCTCTCTCCTTTCCTCCCTCTCTAAAGTAAATTAAAACAAACAAGAACTCTCAAAGGTCTGCAGGTCCCAGGCGGGCAACTGCAGGCCCCAGTATGCCCTTTGCTGAATGGACCCAGGTTCAGTACCAACACCATTCTGAATCTACATTAATCTGATGAACACTACTCTTCCCACCTTGGTGACTCCGAGACCCCACCTCACAAAACTTGCATACTGCCCGAGAATTTTTCAGTAACTGAGCTTTATGGGCAGCTGACAGGCAGACTTCATGGTGCCCTGTGTATTTTGCTGAGCTGTCCTAGGGCTGGTACTGGTAGAAGCTACTCAGTTCACAGTGTGGCCTCTCCAGATCCAGCACAGGCACCTAACAACCACAGACAGCTTTGTTGCCCCTACTAGGTAACCCCAGGCTGGTCATAACAGATGCTGACCTGGGCCTGCACCTGAGCACTTTCCAAGAGGCCTCAGAAACACACCAGTGGCTTGTTTCAGACCACAACAGACCACCACCCAATTAGCTCCACAAGGGGCACGCCTAAAGGGAAATCTTTGCCAGCAAAAGAGCCCACTGGGGTGAATCCCACTCTGTGAGGTCAGGCCCCACACAGTAGCTCGTATGCTGTGGTTCTGGTCAATCCTCACATCTGAGGGTCAATCCCATCCACTGACATGCCAACAGCAATCAAGATTCAACTACACACTCTCTTCTGGTCCAAGGCACTTCGGGAGCCACGGGCTTTGATGCAGACATGGCCAAGTCCAAGAACCATACCATGCACAAAGAATCCTGAAAATGGCCCAGAAACAGCATCAAGAAATCCAGATCATAAAGACACAAATGTCTTAAGGGGGTTGACCTCAAGTTCCTGAGAAACATGAGCTTTGCCAAGAAGCACTACAAGAAGGGCCTGAAGAAGATGCAGGCCGACAACACCAAGGCCATCAGTGCACATGCTGCAGCTATCAAGGCCCTTGTAAAGCCCAAGGAGGTCAACCCCAAGATCCCAAAAGGCAGCAGTTATAAGCTCAATCAACTTGCCTACATCCTTCACCCCAAGCTTGGGAAATGGGCTCGTACCTGAATCACCAAGGGTGTCAGGCTCCGCTGGTCAAAGTCTAAGACCAACACTCAAATCAAGGCTCAGGCTCCCAAAGGTGCCCAGGCCTCCACAAAGGCTCCAGAATAGAGTCCTCCGTCTGCCAATGTC